TCACTAGTAAGTTGGAGCATATAGCTGACATCGGCGCGCAAGTAGTATGGCTGTCGCCGATCTACACGAGTCCACAGGTCGATTTTGGCTACGACATCGCAAATTTCACGGACGTCGATCCGAGTTACGGTACCCTGGCCGATTTCGACCGGCTCATAGCCAAGGCTAAGTCCCTCGGGCTTAAAGTGATACTGGACTTCGTTCCGAACCACAGTTCTCACGAACATCCTTGGTTCAAGAAGAGTATCCAAAGGATCAAGCCCTACGACGAGTATTACGTCTGGCGGGATGCCAAGATCGTGAACGGGACGAGGCAGCCGCCGAACAACTGGCTGAGTAACTTCCAGGGTTCTGCCTGGGAATGGAACGACGTCAGGAAGCAATACTACCTTTTAACGATCATCGCCTGTTTGCTATATTTCGGTGCAGTCGCGAACGCGAACTGGTACGATAACGCCGTCGTGTACCAGGTCTACCCGAGAAGCTTCAAGGACAGTAATGGGGACGGTATCGGTGACTTGAACGGTATCACTAGTAAGTTGGAGCATATAGCTGACATCGGCGCGCAAGTAGTATGGCTGTCGCCGATCTACACGAGTCCACAGGTCGATTTTGGCTACGACATCGCAAATTTCACGGACGTCGATCCGAGTTACGGTACCCTGGCCGATTTTGACAAGCTCGTAGCCAAGGCTAAGTCCCTCGGACTTAAAGTGATGCTGGACTTCGTTCCGAACCACAGTTCTCACGAACATCCTTGGTTCAAGAAGAGTATCCAAAGGATCAAGCCCTACGACGAGTATTACGTCTGGCGGGATGCCAAGATCGTGAACGGGACGAGGCAGCCGCCGAACAACTGGCTGAGTAACTTCCAGGGTTCTGCCTGGGAATGGAACGACGTCAGGAAGCAATACTACCTACATCAGTTCGCCGTTGGTCAACCGGATCTCAACTACCGCAGTGCGCTCTTGGATCAGGAGATGAAGAACGCGTTGACGTTCTGGTTGAACCGTGGCGTCTCTGGTTTTCGTATCGACGCTATTAACCACCTGTTCGAGGATACAGGTTTCCGTGACGAGCCGAGCGCCAACAGGACCGACATCCCCAAAGACGACTACGACAGCTTGGTACACATTTACACCAAGAATCTGCATGAAACCTACTTGGTTTTGAAGAGCTGGAGGGAACTGTTGGACAATTTCACGAGCAAAACTAATACCGATGAGAAGTTCGTCCTCACGGAAGCTTACGCAGATCATAAGTACACAGTTAAGTATTACAATTACGGCTCGGTCCCGTTTAACTTCATGTTCATGGCGACTTTGAACAAACAATCGACCGCTGCGGATTTCGCGGGAGAGATCAATGATTGGATGGACTCTGTACCAAGCGGGCACGTAGCTAACTGGGTCGTGGGCAATCACGACAATCATCGCGTGGCCGCAAGATTCGGCAGTAAACGGGCGGATCAGATCACGATGTTGTCGATGATGCTGCCCGGCATCTCAGTTGTTTACAATGGGGACGAAATCGGGATGGAGGACAGATGGTTCACGTATGAGGAGACCGTCGATACGGCTGGCTGCAACGCCGGTCCGGAGAGGTTCTATTTGAAGTCCAGAGACCCTGAGAGGACACCGTTCCAATGGGACAACACCACCAGTGCTGGGTTCTCCACTAGTCCAAAAACTTGGCTGCCGGTCAACTCTAATTATAAAACGTTGAACCTGGCCGCGCAAAAGGTGGCCGAAGTTTCTCATTACAAAGTATTCAAGGCAATGGTCGCTATTAAAAATAGCAGCGTGCTCACGAAGGGAAGTGCAGAAGTCTCCGTCTTGAAGAACAAGGTTCTGGCGGTCGTTCGTCAATTGGGACGGAAATACGCTTTGCTGCTCATTAACTTCTCCAACTTGCCTGTCACCGTAAATACTAAAGCCAGTTTGGATCTTCCCAACGATACTATCCTTCAGGTTTATACAGCAAGCATTGGTTCGGACATTTCTCCTGGTACCTTGGTCTACGGAGACGCTGTGACTGTTCCTGGATCTGCGTCTGTTGTGGTCATTGCCGCTTAATCAGATCATGATCGAGATGGTTCGGACGACCTGCTCAGCCGGACGCAGGTTTATCAGCTCGGCGTGTTATCGCCACAATAATTTTTTGATAAATAAAATGGTAGATAAGATGTTTATTATTACGCTTGTTAACGAGTGTAATAACGTTGACGAATTATATAATGAAATTGTAGATATTTTTAATAAAATTAAAGCAGTATTATATAATGTTCATGTAATATGATAATATCATACATTCATTCAATTATGTCAATTTCTTATTGTGATTAATAATTCCTTGTTTTCCACGTACGACAGTTTCCTCGCGATGCAAGTAGCAAACTTTCATAATTATTTGTAGCGAAAACACGACAAAGCCGGCTGTACAAGTTGCCAGTCTGTTTATATCGATCCAAAACTAACCCACAAAAACTTCATAATGAGCCCCATTGTTATTTAAAAAACCGGCTGATTACTTATTACAATTTTCATGGCTCCACCGTTTTTGCATAATTACAATCCTCGGCTCGCTTCATCGTTCAGATTTTAATAAACGAACTATCGAATGTGCAAGTAATTTTCTACGGTAATAAAATTTTTAATCATGTTGCCTTCTTTCCATTTCTTTATTATCCTCTTGTATGCAATATCGCTTTGTTGTCATTGTTTTCATAAAAGAAAAGTAATTCTTGCTTCGTTTCTATTGCGACTCCATGTTGTAAATTTTTACGTACGTTCGGTTGATAAAAGATGAAAAATACGAATGACTTTTATATATCCACGGTTGACGCCGTGTAATTATAAAAAATTTAATCAAGAGCCTCTCACATTTCTGTCAGAGCAGGAATTCTGTTTTCCTCATTAGATCGTTGCTAATTTTTTTCTCGCATGCGTCAGCTGCGATTGATAAAAAAACAACTCGGCGGCCAATCCGCAGCCTGTTAATTAACTGACCGACCGCTTCCAGATTTAATGTAATTGAATTATTTAGTACGGTCGGAGTCCGCTCACTGTTTTACTGGAACTTTCATGAGTTTCCGAATATTCATAGAATAATTACGCGGCCGTCGTCGCCGTCGTCGTCGTCGTCGTCGTCACCGAGCGAAAAAATTCCTATTACAGGAGATTTTGTTTCTCCCATCTAGTAATCTACCAATTAAAACTACTGTGGTGTTTCAAAAGTGTATTCGAAGTTGGAAAATCGATTCGCTGACTTAACTAGTTAAGTTTGTCAAATCTGTTTATACTCTCATTAATTATAAGTAGTATGTGGCATTGGTCAGCTTCTGATCTTTGAATAGTCGCGTTATTCAATTTCTTGAATGTTGAGGATCGAAAGTTGCCACTTTTTTAGAACAGAGTAATTAATTAAATAAAGCGTGTAAATTGGTTCAATAATTAGTTTCGTGAACGAACGGTTGGAAAATCTCTCGAAATTTTTCCCGAAGGGAAGAAAGTCGGAAGTATACGTAGAGGACGTTTTGTTTGGTCGTTCTTAGAAGATGCGGAACGAGTTGGAAAGGGATGAGACGTACGTACGTGTACGTGTACCTATGACGTCGGAGGCCGTATACGCGTAGGCGAGTACCCGAAGTGGAAATTTTCAAGTTTTCATGCAGACAGCCTCCATGGTTCCAGTGTGCAACGGCATGCCGTTGCACCAATCACGTTGAGTGCACATTCTTCAACCTCTATCCTCCTGTCCCTTGTTCCCGTTATTTCCTTCCACCCCTCCTTGTTCTTCTCCTCCTACTCCTCCACCTATCCCGTTTCAGACGTCGCCGAGACACTCGGAAAAGATGCACCCTCGTGCACACCATCGACTTCATTTGTGTACACCCACGCACGTATTCGCTCCCTCGCTTGGGAACCGACGACGCCGAGGACTCTTTCCTTTGCTTTTGTCTTCCCGTTTCGCGTGGCCTGTATTTTTCCGGTACGACTCGGTGTTTGTTCCGCGATAGGATCAATCATGCCGCATCGGCGCTTTTGTTTCCCTTACCTCCGGAATAACAGTTGTCGCGATAAATGATAAAGTTCGCCTGCGAGCTTTCCCCTCGAGTGATCTTCAAGGCTTCGTGCCTGTTACTACCGTCGTTCGGCGTCGTTTAAATATCTGACACGGCAAAACGAGACGTCGAGCACTCCTGACCGAAACAGTAGACACATCGATGAATCTCTCGTCGCGGGAAACTTTTATATAAATTGTAATAAATGGAAAATATGTTTATACAATAGGAGGAGTCTCGGATAATTTATATCGCTGGTTAAAATTATATCCGTGCCGCAGACAAGGCGCCGAGACGAGGAGGCCTTGATTTCCTCCGGAAGCTCACCAGACTATATTAAAACACTTCCCTGGGGAAAATTTCATTCCGCCGCCAGGGTTGTTGCATCGCAGTCATCGTCGACGTTCCACCGTTTCGCCCAGCCAATCTGTACCAAATATTTTGGTGGTGGCCGTCTCGTCTTATTTCCCTGCCGCGGTAACTCACAGCCTCTTAATTAATTCGTGGTAGCTCCTGCTCGGTTTCCACCCGGTGGAAACGCCGGTGGTCGTATTCTTTTTCTCTCTCCCAGAGTCGCTTTCGACGCCTTACTTTTATCACGCGGACCGTGAATTTTCACCGGGGAACACGGCCTTTCAAAGGATTAGCGCTCCCGACGAGCAATCTTCCTCCGTTTTTCTTTCCCCTTTTCTTTTTAATTTCATCGCCGAGGACGGAAAAGTGTTGCGTGCAACATCGCGCGGGACCCGCAAGAAACCCAGCAATGCATTTCGCGTGTTACTCAATTAATCCCTTCGCGAATACTCGGAAAGTATCGATCGATCGCGAAGTGCAACCGCCTGACATGTCACAGCGTCGAACGTTCTTAGAACATCTTTTATTACTATAAAATCTGAGCATCTAATTATCAACATACTTGAAGAACAGCCGGACTCACCTTTGCTGGTGACGTTAATCCTACATTGGGCGATGACTATCCTTGACTAGTTCAACAATCTTGCCACGTCGATGTATGAATCTGTAACATTAAAATAAATTTATGTGCACTCCATTGTCATACGAAATAGATTCTGTATTTTCCCGAGTACACGTATAATCGCATGGGACTTATTGTTAGTTCCCTACGTTAAACCGCAAAATCTCCCAGTACGATGGCCGTCGATCAGAGCACGTGCCTCCATGCCGATTTTGCAGGATTCGATCTTTGAGCTGGACGATAAGCCGATCGTCATATCGGTAAATAATGAACGAGAGATTGTACGTACTCTGTGCGTTTGTCAGTGAGCGAGAGAAAGAGCGTCACTCCATTTGGTTGTCCCAATCGCAGCCGATATCAGCCGGCTGGATTTTCTACCCAACCTCCGAATCCAATTACCCCGAATAATTTATCGGCGAATCACAGACGTTAATGACATCGGCTCGCGAATTAAGCGAGCCAGGGGGAAAAGCTCTGCTGCGAAAAATGCGACGTGCGGGGAACCGCTCGTGTCGCCAATTAGTATTCATGCCGCGGATAAAGTTCCCATTTTTACGTGGATCCGCGGCCGGGTTCGATTACCAAGAGCGGCGTGCATTTTCGATCGGCACCTCCATACCCAATAACCAGGGCCGTGTTCTTCGCGTTTTTGATTGCTTTTTGATCACTGAACGCGGCATCCATTCTCTATATAAAATTGACTCCCAGGTCACCCTATTCCTACGGAATATTGCACTCCTCGCACGCAATTAACTTCGAACGCCTGTCCGTCGAATCGGATTGACGTTATCATTGATTTAAACTTGTTCTAAACACGAAGGGTAAACCAATCTACTATACTTCTGGTGGAACATCGTAGAGTCCCACCGCGGTGAAAGGGTTAATCCCGAATCGTTCATCGGTGTCACCCATCATCTCGAAAGCCCATCCAAGCGGGGCCGTAAGAAGTTTCCCCGAGGCGAGGAAGGCGATCGTTCAACGTCGTCGACAGGGCCCGAGGCGCAAAAACCGTGCGACGAACGCGCGTTAAACTAGGAATGTTTCAACGGAATTCGGAGAAACCTGCCTCTAAGTGGCTCGGAAATTGTAGTACGCACCGATCTGCTCATAAGTATTAGCTGCTATTTATCAGTTAACTTCCCGTTGCGAACTGACATCGCCCCGAGAATACTGCTTGGTCAGAGGGTGGGCGAGGCGAGAAACCGTGGGAGGAGAGGATGCTCCGTTCAAGGGAAATATATCTTTGGACGCTTCTTTCGTTTGACACCGCACCCGAGGGCTCGGTTCGAGAAGTTTTAATGATTCCCGGTGACGGGAAACTGCTCCGGCTATACGTCAGCCCCGATTCTCCAGGGAGTCGATGAAACTGCCGCGCACAAAACAAACGGTGTCTGATTCTTTCCAAGATTTCCAATAAACGCGTTTTGACTCATGGATGATCGATTTATGGACCGTCATATCGGTCTTCCTCTACTAAAAGCAATTCTTTAAAACAATGCGTATTTAAAAATAATTGTATAATTGTCGTTTATTTTAATCCATATATAGTATCTTTTAAAACTGTGTGTTCGAGTTTTTCTGACGGGCATCGAAAAACATCACGTGGAATAAAAGTCTCCCGGGGAGACACGATAACTAATAAAACGCATCAATGATTTCGGACAATTCTAGCGTGAACAGGCGCGAACCTTTCTCGTTAATGAAATTCAATTTCTCTCCTGTCGCTCGGTTCATTATTCCTCCCACGATAACTGTTCACGTTCACGCGTTTTTTGATTCGCCGCGCACGCAACCGATAAAAGCGCAATATTTTTAATACGTTCGATGGATCGGGCATTCGTTCTCTGTGACCGTAATAATAAATGTTGAACAACAAATATTTTTACCGAATCAATCGCAGCTCATGCAAACGGCGTTTAAAATGAATTTTTATCAATTTACACTGTAGAAACAAAGTTCATGCACAGTGCGTTGACTAACGACTAATTGAAAGGATCGCGTGACGCACTCCCTTTGGCAAAACAGACAAGCAAGAAAAAAAATACGCTTATTCTGGCATACGCTGTATGCATATTTATAATAGTGAATACTATTTTGAATTCGCGGGAAGAGCACGCGAACGATCCGTTAACGTACTTTTCTCTCACGTTAAAACGTTATCAGCGCGACGCAATGGGGTATCTCGTTCTAGCACTATAATATCGTAAAACAACTTCGAGTCCCACGCGCTCGCATATTGTCGCCGCGACGCTTTTATGGTTAATAGTGTGCCATTTAATTATCATAAACGCCGCCGGGGCTGGCGCAGTTGCCAGGGACAGTACAAACTTTCGAACATTCTGTAACGAAGTTTACGACCGTCGAACCAAATCCGTCTCTCGGTTTCTGAACGTCGATTGTCTCCCTCGATGAATTCGTTTCCTGTAGTTAGTTTCATTTCGGAACGAGATTTCCCTCTGTATCGTGAAGCACTGTTAAATCTTCTAAAATGAAGGGACGCGGTAGCGTCCCGAAGGCAAGTTTGAGTCTGAAGATCGCAGCTTGTCGTCAGGTACCGCGTCTCTTATATACACGTAAATTCGTGTTCGATTTTTTCTTTTATGTATTA